CTGTCCATCTCTACCTTTCCATCTCTACCTTTCCATCCCTACCTGTCCATCTCTACCTGTCCATCTCCACCTGTCCGTCTCCACCTGTCCATCTCTACCTGTCCATCTCCACCTGTCTGTCTCCAACTGTCCATCTCTACCTGTCCATCTCTACCTGTCCGTCTCCACCTTTCCATCCCTACCTGCCCATCCCTACCTGTCTGTTTCTAGCTGTCTGTCTCTTTGACAGGTTGATGGCAGTAGAGGAGGAGTTAAAGAAGGATCACTCTGACATGCAGGCTGTGGTCGACTCCAAACAGAAGATTATAGAGGCTCAGGTCTGTTCACCTCTTTTATATTTATAGCATCGTTAAATTATTATATCTATATTTTGTATTTATATTTGTATAATATACGTATGTTTATTAAAAGACATTATCATACTCTGACCTGTCTGTCTCTTTCACATGTCTGTCTCTCAGGAGAAGCGAATAGCGAGTCTGGACGCGGCAAACACTCGCCTGATGGCAGCGCTGACTCAGCTGAAGGAGCGGTATGCTGTGACATCACAGAGGAACGGCCTGTCTCCTAGCAACACGTCGTCCCTGCAGATCACTGAGAACGGAGAGTTCCGCAACTCAAGCAACTGCTGAGCTCATTGGTTGTGACTGCAGGGAGGGGGCGGGGCCTGAGGCAGAACTAACTCATCAAACACACAATTTTTTTTAAATCAACAGATTAACATTGTCAATGTCAATCAACACTCAGTTCTTCTAGCCTGGCTGCGCCCCCGATCCCAGGTTACCATCCATTTTGATTTGCATGTTTCTTACGACAGCTGACATCACATCCTGTTTCCTTCCTCTGATCCAATCTGATTAACTCCAGATGTTTATGGCTCAAACATACAAGCATCATTTTTCAAGGAACAGTCCAACACTTTTGTCTCAGTCTGTGTACAGAGACAGGTCCTGGTCAGCCAAGCTTAGTATTAGCTGGGAAGCAGAGGGAGACTGACCTAGTTAGCCTAGCCTAGCTCCATCTAAGCAGAACATTAATGGGACTGTTGCGTTGTCGTCGCTTCCTTAGCGCCGAACGTTGTATGCGTTATTTTGTGTTAATTTTACTGATTTAATGTCAGATGCTATTGTGAGACAGTAAAAACTTAAATTGTGATGAAACGTATGTTAGAAAACACACACACACACACACACACACACACACACACTGCTCCCTGCTGGACTCTGTTCAATGTTGCTTCTGTCTCTGTATTTATTTTCTTCTTATCGATATTTATCAATATTTATAAAAGATGCTCCAATAAACTATTACACTATCAAACTGCTATGGTGATGAAAGAGACGATGGCAATGAGTGACACACACACACATCACTGTAACAACGGAATACTCGGGTTTCCCGCCCAGAAACCAGCCTGGGAAGGTTGGAGGTTCAAACCCCATTGATGGTCACTGTGGGCGTGTCAGGGCCTTGGTCGGCCGCTGCACATGATTCTGTCAGCTGTTAGCTGTTAGCATCACCCTGAGGCCTCAGATACAAAAAACAAGCTGCTGTACTTTTCTGACAATTCATTAATAAACATATATATATATATATAGAGAGAGAGAGATCCATATAGATCAAGTGAAGTCAACTTTATT